CCTTTAACGCGCTCCAAATACACTCCCAGCTTGATGGTATCACAATACTCGGCCGGACAAAATGCAAACGTGGCACAGGCTGGTGGGAAGAACACGATTTCATTGGGTTTGACCCCTCCACCAAAGACACATCGCTCTGGGACAACACCTTATGCCTTTGGCACCCCAGGCATGACAAATCCTGTATTCCCAGGGCCTCCAGTCAGTAGCTAACCCCTATCCTCATGTTCCCTCATCAGTCTTCAGTCTTCTGCGTTGGGAAGCTGCTGTCTCATATAAAACTATCCCCAAAACGATTGGTCTTAAGGAGTCGAAACCTAGGACTTAGGATTTGGACATGGGCACCGAATAAAAAAACACCGTACAAAACATCGAACTGTGACTGTGGTTAGCAGCGTGAGCTACTGCCCGCTGTTCCTCATCAAACAATCGTATCATCGGATTAGTACAATGAACTGAGGAGGAGGAGGAGGAGGAGGAGGGGAGGATGGTTGTGATGATGATGGTGATGATGAACATTATGGTAATTATGTAACGCAATCAGGGCAACAGTGCACCATTATTCATTTGCTGTTACTTGGAAACTGAGATGCCAAAATTTCCGCGCAAACGCAACCAAATGGTATGCCACCTATACACAAACAATGGGAAACATTCGGTTGCAGCCATTTGCACATGCCCTTCGACTAGCCACTGGGGCATGATAATTTGTTCAAAAAGTGCATGTTGTGCGAGAAAACCTCTAGACATTACCCGGTGGTGATGCTGTTAAGGATGACGACAATGATTACGATGCCGGTGAGGATTGTAAATAGATTGAAAAGCAACGATAGTGGTGTTGGTGACAACCGTGATGCTGTTGATGGTGGTTGTCATGATGATGGCGACGATGTGCAAGCCCGGCCACCCGGGCGTCAACCCTGAGGGTACCTTACTCCCAATAGTCTTAAGCATAGTAGCGTCCTTGCTCCTAGTAGCGATGCCCTTTGTTCCTAGTAGCTTTT